AGTACTGTCGCCCGACAGCGGATGCTACAGTGGCGGTTGGCGCTTAACACTTAGAGATTTCGCACTTCGAGCACCCTTTGGCATGGCCTTTGCAGCCGGTGGGAGTAACGTGATCCAGATATCCACTGGATCCCTCTCAAGGATCNGCCGAATATCGTGCCGGTCGTCGGCTGGTCTCTAGCGCTGGATATCCTGAGATGCCAGCACAGAGAACCGCCAGATCTCTGCGCTCGGAGGTCCGGGCAATAGTTGACCGACATCCGTGGATTACTCGGAGGGTATTCTCAGATATTGCCTTCCGAGACATCTCTCTGATACATCGCTCGTCTGGGCGTGTAGCTCCCTTCGAGCCGCCCCGGTTGCCGGTACCCGAGCCGCTCCCGCGCTGGCTCGCACCGCTGACCGAGATCGCGCGCGCGCCGGAGTTTCAGGGGGACCTCGCAAGGCTCACTGAGGCAAGCGTACGTGCGCAAATCGATAACATCGCGAAAACGGATGTGGTGAAGGCGGCGTGGGCGGAGAGCAGGGACCTACAGGTGCACGGGTGGATGTATGATCTCGAGACGGGCCTCATGCGGGACCTGGGCATCTCGGTGGACAAGTCCACAAGCCAGTAATGTTCCCGATTCGAACGGCTGTGGTCTGAAGGTGTACTTGTATCTGGTGCTGCAGCTCTCATTGGATATCTGAATTCCGCCGGCGTTGAACTAGTACTGTTCCTCTGAACGTTGCCCCGGACCCCCAAAACCTAATAGCCTTAGCAGCGAAGAGCATACACGACATGTCCTCGGAATGAGGACGGTGTGAGATCTGCTTGCCCACCGCCTGTCACCTCCATATGCAGCTGATCACTTCTTGTACTAACAGCCGCTGTATCCTCACGCATGCCGAGCGCACGGCGGCCCCGAGCAAGGAAAGCAGATCCAGCGCTGGCAGCAGTCAGTGTAGGTCCTGCCAAAGAAGCTCGGACGGACTATCGCTGCACACGACTCGGAGGACGCCGGACGGGCGCCCCGCGAGCGGTGGGTCTGTGGCGGCAGCGGCCCTGCGCGCGATCGTCCCCCGCCGCTCTCTTCTCCCTTCCACCATGACGTCCGCGCGGATCTTGGCTGCGGGCGACGCGTCTCTTCTGGCTGGAGTCTCTCTGCCTTCCCGGACGGCGGTAGTCCGGGCTCGACGAGGAGGGCTGATTGTGTCACCAGGTCTGCTCTGCGTCTACTCGCTCGTCCGGGGGGCTTGCGTGCGTCTCGCCACCATTGGTGGCTCAGACAAGTGCCGCGTCTTATTGGATACTGTGGACGACATGCACGTCGTCGCTGCACTGGGGCTCCGATGAAGGATACTAGTGGCGCTGGCGTGTACAGGGACTTGGATGGAGGCACCAGTCTACCTATCACACTCTGGGACTGCGTTAGGTTCGTTACTCGGCTCGGCACCCGCTCTGGAAGCACGCCTCTTTTTCCTATAAAAACTGTGCGCATCCACATTCCTACCATCCCTTCACCTCTGCTTCCACTGCTGCTGCTCTTGGCTGGTTTCTCTCGAGAGGCTCAGCTCGACGCCCTCCCCACGCCGTTCAAACGTTCATCGATATCATCTGCTGTCCGCACGATGCCTCAGGACTACGTTCTCGCCCGTCTCCTCGCCAACAATTCCGATTGGGCCAAAGACGTCGAGAAGGACCACCCCGGGTTCTTCGAGGAATCCGCCAAGAAACAGAGTCCCAAGGTGAGTGCTCATCCACTTCGAATGCTTCCGCTTGCGGAGAACGCTGCTTGACAGCTACGGAGCATGAGGTGGCATATCTCGAGCAGCACATGTGGGCTGGTGGCGCATGATAGAGCTGGTAGAGCCTCGATGCCAATCCCCCCCTGCGCCCAGAGCACAATCCCGTCGCCCGATCGTAGCGGTCGCTGCCGGGACACGCGTTCTGACCATATCCCTCTCCACCAGGTCCTCTACATCGGGTGCTCCGACTCGCGCGTGCCCGAGTCCGTAGCGACCATGTCGATGCCAGGCGACATCTTCGTCCACCGCAACATCGCCAAGTACCCAATCTCCATCCCCCTTCTCCCACTCCTGTAACCCCGCGTCCCGCTCACTCGCCTCATAACCCAAACAGTCAATTCCACCTCTTCGACGACAACGCGCTCTCAGTTCTCACCTTCGCCATTACCGCCCTCGGCGTCTCGCACATCATCGTCGCCGGGCACACGGGCTGCGGCGGCGTCCAGGCCGCGCTCGACACCGCGCACCCCCCGCCCGATTTCCAGCCACCCGCGGACCCGCTCCCGCGCTGGCTCGCGCCGCTGACTGAGATCGCGCGCGCGCCCGAGTTTGAGGGGGGCCCCGTGGCGCTCACGGAGGCGAACGTGCGCGCGCAGGTCGAGAACATCGCGAGGACGGACGTGCTGAAGGCCGCGTGGGCGGCAGCCAATGCGAACGTGGACGAGGACGTTGACGTGCAGGTGCACGGGTGGATGTACGAGCTCGAGACGGGGCGAATGCGTGACCTGGGCATCTCGGTCGGCAAGGCGGATGTGTCGTGAACTGGGATGCGCCGCCTACTGAGCAATTGATATCGAGCATGTACGTTTATTGGGTTGTTATCGCTATTGATGTTGCATGATGGCATATACAAAGGGGATTCTTTCTGTTACTGGAAGGATCTTTGAGTCATGGAGAGATCATCTCAGAGAAGGGGTTTAATGATTGTGGGTGAGGTAGTTCATGGGTTATGAAGCCGTGTGGTCCTGTTAAGGTAACCGGATATAAAATGGCTCTCATTCATCACCTATACCCTAGGCATGCGCCAACACCGACTCGCCGTTGTCTTCTCTCAACTCGCCGTTGTCTTCTCTCAACTCGCCGTTGTCTTCTCTCAACTCGCCCACAGCCTCAAAAGCGAGCGCTGAGCACGCCCCACCTTGGTTCGCTCCCTACCCACCGGCAGTGAAGGTTTGAAGCTTAGAACCATCTTCTGCCACGTCCATGCGCAGCTGACAACTTGTTACAGTAGTCACCATGTGTTTTAACGACGGCCAGGCCCTCGACGCTGATAAGAGACGGGAGGATATAGGTAGACCGCCCCGCGCAGCGCGTCTGCTAGGTACATCGGCCATCGATCTGTCGTCGAAGCTGCTCTTTAATGGGTCACCAGGCCTGTTGTGTCCACTCGGAATGTATGGATGGGGTCTCCGCCGCCGGTCGCCTCGACGAGCCCGGCATCTTCTATTCTGCTGTGGACGTGTATACACGTCTAGGCTGCACCGCGACTGCAGGGAAGAGTACCAAGCACGGATTATCGGATGGCGCGCAGGCCTACGGGCTTCATCCATTACGCCCTGTGACTGTAGCAGGCTTCAACTCAGCGCCCAACAAACGCCCCTCCCCCTGCTATAAGTACTTGCTCTCATCCCCGACCACTGCCGTGTACACCCACTGCCTTCCACACCTGCGCCCCTGCTTCACCGACGCTCTCATCACGCTTTCCACCGCGCACAAGCCATGACGATTCCGGAAGATATCAGCCTTACCTATCTCCTCTCCAACAACGCCAAGTGGGCTAACGGTATCAAGGAGGAAGATGCAGAGTTCTTCCGAAAACGGTCCACCGACTCCGAGGAGCCTGAGACCGAGGTGGTCAAGCCCAAAGTCAGAGCTCGCTCTTACTACGCTCGCGCGCTCGGCAAATTCTGACAGATGTCCTCCCGCCAGGTCCTCTACATCGGATGCTCCGACTGGCGCGTGCCCGAGTCCGCCGTCTCCACAATGCTCCCGGGCGGCATCTTCGTGCACCGCAACATCGCAAAGTGAGCACCCCGCCTTGCCGTCCGCCCGCGCCGCCCGTTGCTCACGCGCCCCTCCCGCGCCGCAGCCAGTTCCACCTCGACGACGACAACGCGCTCTCGGTGCTCGCCTACGCGGTCGAGCACCTGAAAGTCTCGCACATCATCGTCGCTGGCCACACCCTCTGCGGCGGCGCCGAAGCAGCCCTCGCCGCTGCGCACGCCTCCTGCCCGCCGCCGCCGCCGTCCGGCCCGCTCGCGCGCTGGCTGGTGCCGCTCACCGAGATCGCGCGCGAGTACGAGGACCTCACGGAGCTCATTGAGGCGAACGTGCGCGCGCAAGTCAACAATGTCGCGGGGACGGACGTGGTAAGGGCGGCGTGGGCGGACAACAAGCGTAAGTTGCAGGTGCATGGGTGGATTTACGATCTGGGGACGGGCCGGTTCCGGGATATGGGCATCTCGGTGGATGGGCCCTCCAAGGATGATGTGCTCTGAATCTGATCGGCTTCGAGTATCGACGACTCAAATGTATTCTGTTGATACTTCCTGAATTGCAGTGTCAGACGACTACTATGGCGTCCGAGCATAGATATACATGGACATGGACGGCAACGCCTGCGGGGGTGTTTGGAGGGCATGGGTTGGCTGACGGACCCAAAAATCTGCCCCAGTGAGGCTCGAACTCACGACCTTCCGATGAAACTACGAGTAGAAGTAACAGTCGGACGCTGTAACCAACTCAGCCATGGGGCATATAAACCTTTCCACTCGGTGTTATACCTAGTCGTTTGTCATACCGCTTAACACACGCATACTCATGTGGGTATCATTTCAAATTCATGGGTATAATGAGCATGCTTTTTTGTGGTTTTCGTATTCACTACACTGCTGAACACGGCGCGGGCGGAAATCAGGTGGGGCAGGAATCGGCGGCGCCCAAGGGCGTGCCACCTGGAATCCGACGACCAAGAAAATACCTGGATTCCAGAGGTCGGCTCCCTGGCCGCCAGAATCAGCCTCCCTGGCGATGACTGGAGAGTTTTGGCCCATATTTAGTAACTTTGGCGATGCAAACACGCTGAGCTCGTACGCCTCAGGCTGCACTATGGGGGGATGTTGCTAGTTCAGGTGTCCTCACGCGCTTTAGGATGGAAATACTAGCACCACTGGCATTTACTGCAATGTAGTACTACGGTATGCAAACATACAGTAGGGAAATTTATGTTGTAGTAAGCAAAACATACAGACTGTGGTCGTGCTACATATACCTATCCCAGTGGTGGCGACGGTGTGATGTCCGTGCAGCCGGCCGTGGGGGCACCTTCTCTACGTCGACGCTCGACGGCGCCGTTCTACCATGGGCAAGCGCGAGCTCGGCGGGTGGGTGCAGGTGGGCGCACTGTGGGTGGCAGAGGATCGAGGTTTGTCCCCGAGGAGTCCGGACACGTCATCATTGAACGAGCCTCTTCAAGACTTATAGGCGAATGTTATTTGTAAAGTGCTTACCTGCTGTATCGAAGTAGTAGGACTGCAGACGAAAACATGACAGCCAGAGAGGGAATGCGCGAAGAGGAGACACCAACAGGACACCCCGAGTACCGTGATCAATGGCAGTAGGAAAGAGACAACCGCGGCTTGGCGCCTGCACTCGCAGCTTTGGACAGTGAGCCGGGAATTGTCGCGAAGTGCGCGAGAAAGGGCGCCAGAGCAACGTACCTTGGATCGCAGACGGTGATCCGGCGCCAGCGACATGCCAGCTGGATTTCAGATGGCGCACTCTTGAAATCCACTCATTTTCTGGGGCGGCGGATTCAGGGTGGCTACCAGTTGAGATACACACTTCTATCTACTTAGATCTCAAGGTCCATCATGGCCACCTGAATCCCGCCCGCGTCTTGTGCATCGGTGTAGCTACGGGGACGCATAGGAAAAGGGAGCACATAGAGGAGGCATATAGTCGGGACCAGCTCGAAAGGTTGAAGAGAAAGGGAGTCGTCAGAACTTCACCTGCAAACATACAATCACATACAATCGCCTCGGTCCTTGGTGGAGCAGCCTCGCCTTACGCCTACCCAATACTCACCGCGCCGCCATCCCTTTAACTTCATTCAGCACCGACCTTACAACCTTGTTGACCAAGCTCCTGTGATCGTGCAACCGACACTGCTCGCTCTCGACATGCTGGCAAAGCCCGCTGAACATGCGGAACTCCGCACCACAGCCATGCGCGAGCGGGCACCGGAAGGCCTGCGCGGCGTGCGCCGCGCTCCCGGCGTGTCTGGTGAACGCGACGTACGACCTGAAGGCCCTGCCGCACGCGGTGCACCTGTAGAGCGCACCGTCGCGCACGTACTTCACTTTACTTCTCACACTGACTCCTGTTGCCGACGGCAAGGGGGACGAACTGCTGGTACCGGTATTGGTGTTGGCGTTGGCGTGGACGTTAATGGTGGTGTCGGTAAATTTGTCGGGGATGGTGAGGACGTGCTCGCAGTCAACGCGGGCAACAAGCCGGACGAGCTTGTCTAGCGTCATGCCCGACGCGCAAGTGCTGGACTCGAGGTGAATGAACACCGCGGCGCTCGAGACGAAGCGCTTCCTGCACCCTCGGAAGGGGCACGGGACGCGCCGTCCTTGGTGGGTGTGCGACCGCTGGTGGCTGTGGAGGTTGCCTGGGCTCATGAATGCCCTGTTGCACGGCACGCAGTAGCGGTCAGCGAACTTCCCCTTCTCCTGTTCTTCGGCCTTCAAGTTGGGGGTGGATGGGACGGACAATGTGGATGTAGTGGGTGAGACGGACAGAGTGGATGTAGGGGACGTGGACCCGGAGTGGGCGACGCGACGCGGGCGACGCCGGTGAGTCCGGCTATTGTGCTTGACCAACGCATCCCGCGTTGCGAGATGGAGGTTGCACCGAAGACAGTAAAAGTGCTTGAGGCTGTCCACGAAGTGCTGCAGGAGCTCGGCCTTGGTGGCATAGTCCTTGCTGAAATCAAGACAGCGGTGGTGATTGTCGGACACGATGGTATGGAATAACAAGTCGTTTGCATCCGCGAAAGCGAGACTGCACCTGATACATTCAGTCATCTCTACACAACGAGGGAATTCGTGGGTTGATATAACACGGGGGTGGCCTGGTAGCGGGGAGTTGCTTGGCACCGTTATTGTACTACGGGGTGGTGGTGGTTCGATGGAAAGAGAGGAAGAATAAACTCACGAGTTTCTGGCACTCTTATATACGACTCGGACCCGCGGGAGCTTAGTCATTTTGACTCGGCCTTTCTGGGTGAGCGTAGAAAGTCCTAGAAGGACCTGAATGGTTCTACGTCCCCGTACACGGCTCAGGTAGGTTCCAAAAGGGTATGGAACGCTCTCGTTGAAGAAAGGACCTGGAACGTAGTACTTGCGAGCACATAGAGGAGGAGATGAAAGAGCGAAGAGCCTCGATCAGCGCCGATCGTCGTTGCGCGACAGTTTGAGCCGCATGACGTCACTTCGGAGGAGAGCGCGTGGCGTCCACGTGGCTATGCGTACCTGCTACCAGACCATTGTTGAAGCGCCCGTATCAATTGTCTCAGACTGCCCTCCAATGTCGTTGTGCACTCGTTTGTCCTGTCGCCCTTCTTGTGTCCTGGCTCTTGTCGCCATGTAACTGGTTCATTTGTGAAGCACTGTGAGAACTGGAAACTGCGACAACTCACGACAAAGGTGAGGCAATGCCGGCTCCCTTAAAAGTCCACTCTGCGGTATCGCGCAGCAATAGCGTCGCTCTCAGATACCTCACCTTGCAGCGCAACAATCAGCGCTGGTACCCAGCTCCTACGTATCATATTCTACGCATAATCCACGTGCACCGTCACCCGGTCATTCCTGTGCGCAGACGCGAAGGTACGCAGCTTTCGGTGTCGCTGCCTGTACACCGCCTGGCTCACTCGCGATGAAATGTAGGAATTGCCGTTATGGGTGTACCTGCCCTCAATGAGGATATTTACTACGGTATCCTTAGGGAGCTCTATGGACGGTCGGACGTATCCGCCGTCATGCTTGCCTCGCGAACGTTCTACTCTATCGGTGTCAACCGCCTCCTCCGGATGGGCGTCTACATCTATAGCGATGACGAGCTGGTCTCCTTTTGCAGCTTCATGAAGTGTAACTTCCTCGACATGAACAAGGTCTCTAACCAGCTACGTGAGCTTACGATCTCCTTTGACTGGAATAAGGATGAACCCGACAGCGACGACTCGGACGATGACAATCGTGAAACCGACGAGGACGACTCCGATTACGGCGACTCAGACGAGGCCAGTGCCGATGAGCATGAAGCCACTAGTTGCGATGCCGGAAATGACAGTGATTACAGCGATTCAGACAGGACTCGGAGCGACAAAGCTTATGGCAGCGAGGACGAGGCCGAAAGCGACGAGGACGATCTGCAGGCCTACGAGACGAGGGAGCCGCTGCGAGGCGCCCCATTCCTTGTCCCGGTCCTCCGCTGCCTTACAAATTTGCAGGTCCTCACGATGGAATACTGCGAGACGCTCCTGAAGTACGACAAGCGGCTCATTGACGCGTTCTCCGCCTTCACCACCCTGCAAGAACTCCATATCGTCGGCTTTGGGCTGCGCACCTACTGCATTGTCACCAACCTCCGCTCGGATCTCCTCAAAGTTGACATCGACTGCGGATACTATTGTAGTATGGCCTTTGACTCGCTTTATGGACTATTACCTTAGTTTACTGTAGTCTCCTTTAGTTCTTTAGTTCGCGCCCTTTAGTACATTTGTTATCGCTTTTCTTATCTTTGTTACTTACATTACATTAGTGTTTGTATGGCTCACATGTATATTTACTCGCGCTCTCGCTACACTATACATCATCAGTTTCCCTCTCTCTCACTACCGCGTGCTCGAACTCCAACAGGTTATGAGCCCTGCGAGGTTCTAATCAAA